ATGAGCTGCACTACAGCCACTGTGTAAGAAGAGCTAAGGGGGGGGGGGGGGGGGGGGAATGACCCAGCTCCTCTGAAATCTCTCCTTTTGCTATTGCTGTGTGCTCAGAATGCAAAATGAATCCTAAATATGGGGAAAGATGAAACACAACCACCTGAACAACTTCCTATTTACACCCTTGGGTTGAGGAGTATAAATCTGGCCCGAAGACAAAACAGAAACCGGTCTGCTTCATATTAACGATGTTCATGACAGTCAGAAAACAATAGCTTTAGAATAAATGTTCACAAGGATAAAGAACAATGACATCTGGCAAAAGGTGTAGAGAGAAGATGATGAAAATTGAGAGACGGGGACTTAGAGGCATCTAAGAAGTGTAAGGGGAAATCAATGAACTATGTATGTTCAGGAGCATAAGTGGCCCTGGTTAAGGGAAAGTAAATTGAAAAGATCAATTGAAAACTCTTTCGGTTGTAAGCAACTCACTTCAATGTTTTCAGTATCATCTAGCATCCCCATAAATTTTTCAGAAGGCAGACTCTCATATTATGGTGGTACTTAGACGGAATGTTAGCGGGAATAATTTTCAGGAAACAAAATCAGGACTCAAGGAGAGAGGTCAGAATTCAAACTGCCTCCAGAGCAGGAAGCGAGGAGCCTTGGTGTTGCAGTGGTTAGAGTGTAGCATTGCAGACTAACTCTGCCCACAGCCTAGAGTTTGATCTTGATCGGCTCAAGGTTGACTCATCCTTCCAAGGTGGGTAAAATGAGGACCCAGATTGTTTGGGGAAATATTCTGACTCTGTAAATTGCTCAGAGATGCTATAAAGCACTATAAGGAGGTATATAAAGTCTAAGCGCTATTGCTATAATAGCCTAGTAGAAGCTTGCCAGATAAAGAATCAGGCCATCCAATCCAATCCAGCATTCCGTCATACAATAGTAAACCAAATGCATTTAGAAAGAACATTTCTCCACCACTGTTGCTTTCCCGTAGCTGGCATTTGGGGCATGTTTGAAGATATACTGAATAGCCATCAAGAAAAAAGAACCCTAAAACTATTCTTCCCTTTATTTAGTCTTAGACATAGAAAATAGGGTTAAAAGGGACCTTGCTCAAGCAGGAGAGCCTATCCTAAACAGATTGGTCTCATCACCTCTCATGTCACAAACTGCAATTCCACGTGTCATGTAAGGCAGTTCTCCTACTAGTGATTCTGGACTTTGGCTCATTTATTTTCAGGGATAGCCTCGATATCTGATATTGTACACATGGAAGAAAAAAACTCATCTCTTCTCACATGTTCCAAATTCTGCAAACTATACATCTCTTCATTCAACTTTACTCTCAGATAAAGATCAAGACACTACAATTTTCCCTGATGGGGTAATTAAAGGAGATGTTCTAGCCCTCTAACAATTTTGGTTTCTATAAGTTGGACTTTTTTAGTTCCTCAATTATTTTTAAAATGTGCTCACCAGAAATATGATATAATTCAAAAAAAAAAAAGGGGGGGGGGGAAGGGAGATTGATTCTCCAAAACTGGCTGCTTTAATTCTTTTCCTAATAGCCTTGTGCATGGAATTCTCTCAGGCGCAAAGGACCAGGACCATGCATTAAGTTGCAGTTCAAAAAGGATTTACCGCTCAAGGCTATTTATAAGAATCTAATCAACTAAAGTTCAGTTCAAAATTGGTGCCAGATAAGGGTCAGCGGAATTCAAGAGGGGTTGTACTTGGACCATCTGAGGCAACATAATGACTCTAAGCTGATGACGCGCTTAACTCCACCTCCTAGTTCCGTCTCCTCCTACAAATTAATTCTTTTTATAGCAGCTGTACACTGTGTTGATAATTTCATAGACGTCTTCACTCCAATTTCAAGATCTCTTTCCTAAACACTCACTGCTATCTCAGCTCCCGCTAATATATATGTGAAATTTAGATATTCTTGTGCCCCAACATAAATTACTTTTTGCTTGCTTACATTGAACTTCATTTCCCATTCTGAGGCCCATTCACTAACTGATCTATTGATACTGTTTAGCAGCTAAAGCTTCTCTTCACTTGTAGCTATAGCGAAAAACCTTTACCTACTACATTTTCAGGTACTCCTTATAACAGCCTTTGGCAACTTGATAAATCCAGGTTGATAAACCCAACATCCCATCCTGCATAGTCAATTGCCATCTGGATGATAAAACCTGGGGCTCCACGAATCTGCAATGGGCCAGGCTAGAAGGAACTGCTAATGAAGGCCATTAATGGAGTTGAGAGGAACATCCATGTAACAACAAAAAAAACCCCAATAATATATTTTAATAAAATATACTATATGCATGTACAGTACATAATATATAAAACTATATACACAAAAACAAAAGTAACAACGGTCCTTAAAAAAGAATATTGGTAGCTCAGGGATGAATTGTAGAGTCCTTGGTGCTCTCTGAACTTGTTTGCTTGCAGATGTTGCATTATCCAACTAGATAACATCATGACTAGCACTGATGACGTTACTTAGAAGGTAATGAAGCATCTGCAGAGAACCACCAAGATAAGAGAGCATCGAGAACTCTGAAGTTCCTTAAAGCATAATATCAGTAAACAGGGCATCTGATTACAAATAACTAGTAAAAGAAATATTTTCTTTATTCTGTTCTAAGTTGGGTCAGTTGTGTCTGAGTTATATGTGAATTACCAAACCCAAGTTTATATTTTAGCACCCCAACTAGGAGATTTCAAGTGCCTCTTCTGAAGGCTGAAATATCAGACCATAGGGCAATTGCATAGTTGCTCAAACTCACTTTGGCAGTTCTGACCTTTTCAATTTGATTTATTTAGAGTAGGTTTTGCATTCCAACATTTCATTACAGAAATATTTTACCAGTTCCCAAGAACATAATTTAGTCTTAAGAGTTTGTGATGAAAACCGATTACCCATCATTTTCAGCCATATCTTAGCAAAGATACACCTGCATTCAGAATCACTTTCCATAGACATACTGGAAATTATTAAGGTCCCTTCAACAGGTTGATGGACCAGGTCATAAAAATATGACCTGCATACAAAAGCATTCAATGCTATTCCTGAAACTTATTGGTTCAGAACACGCCTTGATGTCTTCCAGGTATCTTAGATTTTTAGAATCACAAGCAATGGCTAATCAGGAGATTCCATGAGTTGGGAACAAGACATTAGGAGGAACCAGATTTTATGTTTTGAATCAGAAATGGAAAGGCTCACTTGCAATTGAGGTCTTTCCATAAGTTCCTATTTATTTTAACAACATGGGGAATATAGTAAGGTCCTAATGATCACTGCAAGATTTCCACAATACAGAGCATTTTTATCTCCTTTCTGCCCCTATAGCTAACTAAACCTTTGCAATAAGATTGGAGATTCTCATGATTTGAAGGCTTGAGCAGCATTAGCTTTAGGCCACTTTCAAAACCTGAAAACTCAAAAGCTAGTCCAAATAACAGAGAGAATAACAGAATAGCAGAGTTGGAAAGAACATTGGAGTTCTTCTAGTCCAGTGATCGCCAACCAGTGGGCTGGGGACCACTGGTGGTCCGTAAGAAAATTTTGGTGGTCCTCAGAGAAATGTCTCCCCCAAAGCAATTAATCCAGGCTGCGTGGGAACACAAGGCTGTGCCGCCCCCCTGCTGCCCCACCCCCACCCTAACAGGAGGCCAAGCTATCTGCAAACTGTTGAGTGCTCCTCGAGAGAGACAATTTTGCAGATGGCTTGGCCGAACTCCTGTTCCTGGGAGTCAAAGTGCTGAAGCATGAGAGGCGTAGGCAACTTCGGCTGGGTTCCTCGAGCGAAGGTGGAATGCTGATGTCGCGCAAATATAAGTAGCGTGGCACTCCCGCACCCTCCATTGCCACTTCGGCCCACCTGTGCCGCCGCCCCCCTCTTGCCACAGCAGCACCATTACTTTGTCCTGGCTGGCAAGGGCTGCACTGCTTTTTACACGTTGCACCACCCGCAAATTTGCACATTACACATGCCATCCCCTACAGTGGAGATTTCCAACCCCACCATGGGCCAGTCCCATATTCCAGAGCTGCAGTAGTCACAAGACTGGCCCTTTGGTCATCCTGGAGCAGCTCCTCCAGTCCATGGCAGGCCAGTGCACCCGGGTGGAGGAGCAGCTGCTCCGGGATGACCAAAGGGCCAGTCCTGTGACTACTGCAGCTCTGGAATAGGGGACTAACTATCCCACTAATGTCAGCAAGCCACCGTCAGTCAAAATTCATATTAGTGATCTGCGGGATCTAAAATTATGAGTTTGGTGATCCCTGAGGTCCAAAAGGTTGGTGACCCCTTGTTAGGAATTGATAGTCACCTAACAATTGAGTTGGAAATATATAAACCAGGATAGACATTTAATACTGTCTCTCTAAGGGAATGCTAAAATTGTAATTGGGTGTGGTTCCTCAAACGGCCATAAGATGGAGCCAGAAACCTGGGCTGTTCTGTTGTTGCTAGATGTTCTGATGTTCAGTGTTGGTTGGTCTGCATTTTTCCCTATTGACTGTTGCTGATCATCGTTCTTCTTGGATTGCTGTAAGTCTGTTACTGAACTGTGTATGATACTGGACTTTGTTATTTGGATTATCCCTGGACTGAATACTGACTGCTTTAACCGTGTATGACTTGGACTGCTTGTTGGATTTTGCTTAACCATTTACTGGAAGTAAAAACCTACATTTTACTATTCAGTGTATCTGTATGCTGGTCGTGTGTTATTCAACATCACTCTCACTACGTCTCCCTGCGTGCACTCATTCTCCTAACGGCGAATTACCTAAACCCCCCGTCTTCTAGTCCAAGGAAGGCAGGAAATCCTATACCATTTTGACAAATGGTTGTCCAAAACTTCCAGTGTTGGAACATTCATAACTTGTGGAGGTAAGTCGTTATATACAAAGGCAAGGGATGGGATGAATCAGTTATCACAAACCAAGATGCCATAATAACTATATATACCTTAGCCAGCATTGCAAGATGTTGATTCTGAACAATGGCAGTACGGTATGTTGCTAATCCTCCTTCCTCCAAGCTTGGGAACAAATAGTACAGGTGGACACTAGAAATAAAGATTAAAAATCACATAATGATCCATATACTCTCTACTTCTTATATATGTTCTTGTCAATGAAATAACCATTCCAATTTTACTTCTATCTGATTTCTGCAGAGGAGGTAGTATGCATTCCTAAAATCTTGAAACCATTTCAGTATAGTAGAATAAAGCTTTAATTGACAATAGCTTTTAAAAAAAAAAGGGCAGACATCATATGAAAGAGACCTGTGTGATGCAATTCTTTCCTAATTTATTTATTTAGTAAATTTACAATCACCCATCTCATATACATATCTCTTGATGGATCACAACTAAAGAGAACAAGAAACAAAGTCATCCGGAGTTTTTTTTTAAAAAGCAATGAAATACCATAAAAATAGCAACCGAGAAGACTCTCAACCATTCAAACAAACCATGATAGGGGCCCACCCTTACTATCAGGACCCCAATTCAGTGGTAAAGACAGCTTTTTAAAAGCTTTTTTCTTTTTTTTGTAAAGGACCAGAAGGATCAGAGTGTGGGCGAGATTCCAGAGGTGGGCACCACAGCAGGAAAAACGTGTCCTCCTGATAGAGGACATTTTCTTACCACTGGGAACCGAAGCAGGCCTTTCCTACCAGATCTAACAGGATGGGTAGACCTGAAGAGAGAGTTTTCCATAAGTAACTCAGCCCCAACCTATGAAGATCTTTGAAAATAACTAACAACACCTTGAATTCGCACAGAGCAGAGGTGTCATAACCCAAATATCCAGCCCCGGGTGAAACTTCCAAATACTCTTCAAGGGCAGCCCCATGTAGACCACTTTGCAGTAATTCATTTGGGACTAGCGCATGGGTGATTGTGAACGCCTCCCCTCCCCCAGTCCAGGAATGGCTGCAACAGGCATACGATACCAAACTGGGCAAAAAGGCCCCACTTGCCATGGCTGCTACCTGCTCATCAAGCAGGAGCTGTGAGAACAGAAGGGCCCTCAGAAAGCCCAGGGCACAGCAACCCCATCTATAACAAGACATGGAAGTTCCAAAGGCTGCTAAAACACAAAGCTATTTGATCTTACTAAGATTGAGCCGAGGCCTATTGTTCCTTATCCAAGCCCTAGCTTCCAGACACCAGGACAGGACCTTTACTGCCAGAGCAGAGATATATAGTTGGGTATTATCTGGATATTTATGACACTCCTCCCTTAACCAATGAATAGCTTAACCCAGCAACTTCCTGTAACCAATTAAAAAAAGATACGAGAGAGCCTCGAGCCTATAGCACTCCACAGCAGAGGCCACTGGATGACCTTTCTTCCTCTATAGACATTGACCGGAAGCAGCCTTGGAAAACCAACACAGCACCCCGCTGCCCACTCCTAATCCTTGCAACCAATCCAGAAGGATGCCATGATCAATGGTATTTAATTCCTGCTCCCTCTCTCTTTCTGATGAAGCAAGTACAAAAACAGGTCGCGCATTTGGTGTTTTCATCCAATTACTGAAGGATTAGAAGAAGCCACAGGGAAGTAATTTTCATACCATTTATTCCAGTAAAATAAGAAAAAGGGTTTCTCTGCTTACTTTTTCATACTTCGTACTGTCAATAAAACATGAATCTAGGTAGGTAGGTAGGCAGACAGGTAGGAAGAAAAAGAAAGGAAGGAAGGAAGGAAGGAAGGAAGGAAGGAAGGAAGGAAGGAAG